CCAGGAAGATCCCACGTGCTGCGGAGCGGCTGGGCCCGTGAGCCATGGCCGCTAAGCCTGCACGTCCGGAGCCTGTGCTCTGCCAAGGGAGAGGCCGCAGCAGTGAGAGGCCCGCGTACCGCAAAAAAAAAAAAAAAAAAAAGAAACTTGTACACAAATGTTCATAGCATTACTCATAATAACCAAAAATTGGAAACAACTTAAGTGTCCATCAATTGAAGAATGAATAAACAAACTGGTATATCCATAAATGGAATATTATTCAGCCATAAAAACAAATGAAGCACTAATCCATGCTACAACACAGATGAACCTTGAGAACACTATGCTAAGTGAAAGAAGGCATTCACAAAAGGCCACCTACTGCATGACCCCGTTTATATGAAATATCCAGAAGAGGCAAATCCATAGAGACAAAGTAAATTAGTGGTTGCCATAGGCCTGCAAGTAGGGGCAGTGAGAAATGTCCGCTAATTGATACAGAGTTTCTTTCTGAGGTGTTAACAATGTTCTAAAATTCAATTTGGCGATGGTTTTATACAACATACTTTGTGTGTGTCAACATACTAAAACCCACTGAGCTATATACTCTTAAAGGGAGAATTTTATGGTATGTGAATTATATTTCAACAAAACTGTTATAAAAAGAACTTTCTACAGAGAAAATGCAGCTGTAGCATCGAGTTGCTCCTTGCACAATTCCACAGTCTGTCACTCACATAGACTAAGAGATAAACGGTGCTCCCTTGGCTGGGCAACATGGTGGCCCTGCTCAGACAATTTTCCAGGTAAATTCTACCAAGCTGTCAGGAATGTATAATTCTAATATTATACAAATATTACATATATTTTCCATAGAATAAATAGGCAACACTCTCCAACTCCTTTTGTGGTTGGCACCATCTTAATCCCCAATCCAGGGGAGGGCAGTATAAGAAGGAAAAATTTCAGGCCAATTCAATAAATAGATTTAAGGATCCTAGACAAAATATCAGCTGATTTCAGCGATAGATTAAAAAGACACTCCATCATGACCAAGTAATATTTAAATGCAAGGCTGGGAACTTCCCTGGCGGTCCAGTGGTTAAGACTCCACACTTCCACTGCAGGGGGCACAGGTTTGATCCCTGGTCAGGGAATTAAGATCCTGCATGCTGCACGGTGCAGCCAAAATAAATAAATAAGTAAAAATAAAAAGAATAAATAAAATAAATAAATAAATGCCAGGTTGGTTTGACATTAGTAAATCAATCAATGTAATTCACCACGTTAATAAATTAAATGAATCATATATGGCCATCTCAAAAGATATACTGATAGAAAAAAGAATTTATTACTGATTAGAGGGAAAAAAAATCCTAGGAAACTAGGGAGAGAAAGGAATATTCTTAACCTGATAAAGGTTATTTACACACACACACACACACACACACACACACACACACACACACACACACAGAAAGAGCTAACATTATATTAAATGATGAAATGTTGAAAGCATTCGTTTGGATTAAAATCGAAAACAATACAAAAAGCCTGCAATCATGATTCCCTTTCGTAAGCTCCCAGGTATTCTCGTGGTGGTGATCCAAGTGCCCACTCTGAGAAATTCTCAGCTGGAGAAACCAGTTGCCAATTGAGATGGCTTCCTGTTTCAGGTGCCCAAGCCCACCTACCCAACACCACTCCCAGCCACTGATCTGGCTCTGCTTCTGTTCCTTCATAATTATCCCACTACCCTATTTCATTTTTCTTGGATCTTCACAATAGCTCTGTGAGACAGATATTATCTCCATTCCACAGATAAGGAAAGTGAGGCTTGGAGAGGTTACAAGTCTTGTCCAAATTCCCACAGTAGGCGGCAGAGCTACAGTGCCAGGCTGGGAAATGCTTTGTAGCACCTCTGGAATCTTCCTGCCTGTGCCCCTAAATTAAGCCTTCCAGGACAATATGGTGAGTTTACCTGTAGCCTGGGGGCTAAGGCTACCGTTAACAAAAGATTCTCAATTTGACACAAAATACTCTTGTTTCCTGGCCAAGTGTCATGCCATGTTCCATATTAACTTGCTGTCTAGACTTCCCTGTCTGTCTCTAGGTTGGGTCTGTGTAGGAATCAACACCTAGATATTTATTCCATTCCTTGAGCTGTTTGTTCACATCTTTCACAACTCCCTAATGTACCCAGGTCTGTTATTAGACACAGGGAGACTTGAAATTGTGAGGCATGTACCCAAGTCCTACCTTCTACGGGAAGGGAGAACTGTCCTTTCCTGTGAGTAGTCCATTAGGAGGAATGCACCAGAATTAGAACCCTGAAGATGCCAAGAGGCGGTGCCCCACTCTCCTCTGATGGGTGAGGCTCAGAGAGGGTAGGGAAGTGGCCCAGGCCACACAGCTGGTTGATATACGAAGGGAGAGGTGGCCATATAGGGCAGCCTGCGGAGGTGCCAACCAACAGCTGAAGGGGCTCAGGGAAGGGAGAGGGCACCTGCAGCTCCACGGAGAAGGAGGCCAGAAAGGCGGATGGAGGGGCAAGGGAGAGATCAAGAGAAGTGAATGTCCAATCTGGTGGGAAGTCTAGAGAGAGCACCAGTGTGGCTGGAGAACAGGGTTTACAGATGAAAAACAGCGGGGGAGGTGGGTAGGGGTTGGGCCTGTGAATACCAGGCAGGGAGCTGGGCTGGGAGTCTGCGGGAGGGGCTGTTTAACGTCTCCTCCCAACACACTCCACCCCTCCAAGTGCGGAGTGCACAGGGGAGCAGATAATAATAATAACGGCCAACATTACTGACTTCACCATATGCCAGGCACTTCCCATGGGTTACCTCATTTAATCTTCACCATTACCCAAGGAAGCAGATTCTAGCACTACCCCCATTTTACAGATGCAGAAACTGAGGTAGGGAGACTAAGGGCACTCTGCCCAAGGTCATTCTACAGACCAAGTACTGGAACCCACAGAGCCCACCAAAAGTAAACTTAATATTTCTATGAGGTCTCCTATTTTAAATACTCATGAAAATTATGCATTTTCTCCTTAATATGTTTGCATCTGTTTGAATATTTTTAAAATGCCTTTCCCCCTCCCCCACTAAATCCTCAAATAAAACTACCCTCCAGGCAGGCAGAGCCACTGTGTTTCCTCTGTGGCCGCATGAAGCTTGAGCATGATGCTGGGAAACCCAGGAGCCCAAGGAAGGTTCTGAAGTAAATGGGTGTGAGGTGTGATGTTGGTTCTCTGCCTCTGACTAGTGCCATTTTACTAAAAAGAAAATTGTCATCTCCATCATTTATGAAAAACTGGACAGAGAAGACACATTAATCTTCAGCCCTCAGGGGCGGTCCGGTCCTCACCCTCAGAACCCCCATACATTCAGAATCCTAGCAGTTTACCCAAGGTCCCCAGTGAGACCATTCTCTCTCCTTCACTTCTTTCCTGGGCAGAGTCTCTGAACCCAACCTTGACCAAAACTCCCAGGGAGATATCCGAGCAGATACCCATAATCCCCGCCCCAAGAGTTCCCACACCTGCCCCCTGATTTCCCAGCTCCAGGCCTTTACTCATGCCATTTCTTCACTTGGAGTGCTCTCCCCTCCCCCCAAATTCTACCCATCCTCAAACCCAATCTTACAGATCGCCCCCTTTGTGGAGACATCCCTGATTCCCTCCTCCCCCATGATGGAAGTGACCAATTCCCTCTTCTGAACCCATCTGTCCCTCTCTGAGCACACACCCTAATCCACTTTGCAATGGAAGTGCTCCTGTACACTTTTAAATCTTCCCAACCAACACAGAGCCCCTTAAGGGCAGGATTTGTATGTGATTCTTCTCTGGGCCCCGCACAGAGTAACACCTTGCACATAGTAGGCAGTCAATAAAAATGTCACGAGTGAATGAATCAAAAGATCACTGTGTCCCCGCTAATCACAGCCACTAGTTCTCTGTGAGTAGGACCAACCGGGGCAGTGCACCAGGAAGAGATGTCTACAGCCTTGTGAGAACAGAGGTGGGCCACCTGCCCAACAGCATTGTGGGAACGTGGTCTCACTTCCAGTGTGTCTGTTACCTGCCGCATCCTCATCTCTGCCCTTCAAAAGCTCCGCATCCTTCTGATTTTCCCCCAATGCCATCTTGCTGGCATCACCTAGCCGCGCAGGCTTTTACGAAGAGGGTTTTGTGGTTTGTCTCCTCTTAACCTTCCATTCATGATGCTGAGATCATTTGGGATTTATTTTTCTGGGGAAAGTCGTAAGGGCTTGGCGGTCGGCTGGGTGGAAAGGAGATCTCCCCTCCCTCTGTGACATCCTCCAGATGAAACATCCATGAAACAACAGTTATTCTTGTTCAAAGAGGAAGGAAACATAACACAGAAACAAGGGTGTAATGAGATGACGTTTACTTTGCAAGGGAAGGAGGAGGTGCACCACTGGCACAGCTCACAAGCAGCATGACCTCGCCTAAGGCTTATTAAAAACGCAGATTATCAATGCATCCCCGGTGTTTTGGGGTAGCTGCCCTTGAGCACCCAGGCACAGGCAGATCGATAACTCTCTTTATCGCCTCAACACACACCCGGCCTGGGCCTCCTGCAAGGGATGAGAACAACCACAAAGCCGCACTCTGAGGTGACTCTGCCCCTGGCCTGCTTTCAAGCACCCACAGGAGGGTCCTTAAAAAACTGCCACTCTGACAAGGGCTGCTAGCTTCACCTCTGTAGCTTGGATCAGTAGTCTCAATAATGACTCCGCTTCGGGAAAAAATACAGATGTCACAGGGAAGGGCTACAACTTAAACGGTCTTAGGATCACTTCCGTTTCCAGGTTTGGCGTAGGTGAGGGAAACAGGAGGCTCGAATTCCCCAAAGGGAGTCTGGGAGGGGCTCCCTGAAGACAGTGGGTGTACACAGAGAAGACTGGTTGAAGACATAGCAGTCGCCATGTTGCAGAGGCCAAGCCCTAGTCCCAGCCTGGACCTCAATCACCGGAACAACAGCACGTACCTGGGGCACCTGTTCTATGCTGAACAGCCTGGGGAGCTTCAGGCTCAGCATCTTGAAGCCGAGCTGGGAAGACGGGTGGGTGACAGCCGGTCCCTGTCACCAGGCCTCGCTCAGAGTTCTGACATGGCTCCGGATGCCTCTGGCCAGCCGGTGTCCGAGCTGCTCCACTGAAAGAATACAGCGTGAAGAACTCCAGTGAGTGTCAGCCTACCTCCAGCTGGATCAAGACTGTCAGTTTGTTTACCGAAGGGACATACCCTTGCTTGTGATGGCAAAATAACCAGGCTTCCTTAAAAACAATAGTGAAACTCTCAGACTGCTGAGTCATTCACTCTGAGAGTGATAGAGGGAGGTACTTAAATCATAATAGGGCAATCATAAAATTACAGCGCTGGAAAGGGCCAGAGAGGTCACCCAATGCCCTTATGTTGCACAAGGGGATCAGAGGGGTGGAGTAACTTCCCCAAGGTCACACAGCTTGGGGGAGAGCTGGCGCTGCTCCCTCTCCCTGCATCAGGTGCTACACCTGGACAGACAGTGTGATCCCGGGCCTGAGGCCATCAACCTCTGTGCTCCAGATCACCCAAAGAGATGCAGCACTTCCACAAGGCTGACTGGAGCGTGGCTGCCCTAAGACACACCAAAGGACCAGACCAGGTAAATCCGAGGCGCTTTGAATCAGAGCAACAGGGCTGCTTAAATGCAGGATTCAGACTGTTTAATAAGCTGTGAGTAATGTAAGCTAGAGGAACCCAAAGCCCTCAGGGCAGGCCCAAGAAACTGGAAAATACTAGCTGGGTTCCGCAAAGAAAGAGCAGAGCTAGGAGTTTACCATAGTCCGTGCCTCACCTACTCCCCAAATCTGCCACCTCCTCAGAGCCCCACGGACGGGTTCTGTCCCTGCCTCCGAAGGCTCCAAGACCTTGTCTGTACCTGTCCTGCAGCACCATCCACATCTGCCTGCAGGCAAAGCTACCCGCCTAGGCCTTGTCTCTCCTGCACCCCCAACTGCCCCAACTGGGGAGGACCCTCCTGAGATGGTTGGAAACGCAGGATGTGTGCCTGGCTCATCCCAGGCCTTCAGTTAATGCTTATGTAATGATGCAATGGTGCTCATCCTTTGAACTTAAAGTGATTTTTTTGTTTTTGTGGTTTGTTTATACTTTTGCTTTTTATTATAGTTCTTTAAGTCCTATGCATTATTATCTGGAACTATGTAGCAAGATATAATATAGCTATGTTCCATCGTAAATATGCATCTTTATGGTGTAAGCAATCATTCATAATAATTGCTGGTGTAAGCAATTATTCATAATAGTCAAAAGGTGGAAATGATAGGGATAGCGAAGGGTAATTAAATAGTTTAGAAATCCCACTAGGGGATTAAAGACAGGGAGGAAGGGAGTTTGGGAAACTGTTGTAAACTAAGGACCACTCAAGAAAAGAATCCAGTAACCTAGTAACAAGCAGCACTACCTTGAGGGAAGACCAGGTGCACCCGAGCGCCAGACACACTCAAGCCACAAACCCTGACAGTTAAAACACAAGACAATAGATATGGGGTCTGAATCTTGTTACATGAAGTCAGGGAGTTAATGGTCCTTAAAGAGTAGCATCTCTGCTTGTAACCAAGACAGGAATATAGGTGAAAGGGGAAAGAAACTAGGTGAAAGGGGACATGATACTAAAACCTGAGATGAATTACTATATTTTAGTATATGTTACCACTCTTTTGCTTATATACATATGATTTAAATAGCGCCATGACAGTCCCGGTTACACCGTGTAGGGTCAAAGGAGGAACTAATGATGTAAGCCTTGACATCTGCCCAAGAATGAGGAGGAAGGTGGTCTTCTCCCCTGCCCACTTTTGCTTTGATTATAAAAATGTATCCCTTTCTTCTCGGGGCTGTGCTCCCTTGCCTGCCCGCTTGTATCTCTCACAAGCGTCCTATGCTAATAAACTCACCCTGTGCCTATTGCTTTGCCTCACGCTGAATTCTTTGTGCAATGAGACAAAAGAACCTGAGCTTCAGTAAGTCCTGACACCAGGTGAGCCATTTCAATTAAAAGAGAGTGGGTTCGAGACCCCTCCTAAGTCAGAGCTCGTGGGTTCAGGTCCCAATCCGAGGTGCGGCTGGGTTAGAGTACCATTCAAGAAGGAGTGCTTCAGAAACAACCCAAGTGTCCACCAGCAGGTGAACAGAGAAACTAGCAAATAAGCAAAATGCAGTCTACACATACAATGGAATATTACTCAGTCTTCAAAAGGAATGAAGTTCTGATGCACGCTACAACATGGATGGAAACTTGAAAACATTATGCCAGGTGAAATAAGCCAGGCACAAAAGGCCAAATGTTGTATGATTCCAGTTATGTGAGGGGCCTGGAATAGGCAAGTTCAAAGAGACAGAATAGAGGCTGGGGCGGAGGGAGGAACGGGGGTTGTTGTTTAAGGGGTACAGAGTTTCTGTTTGGGAGGATAAAAAGTTCTGGAAATGGGTAGTGGTGATGGTTGCTCGCTACTGTAAACGTAAAATGCACTTAAAAATGATACATTTTATGTTGTGTATATTTTACCACAATAAAAAAAGTTACAAAATATTTCTGAATGCAAAATAATATAGAAAATATTTTTTAAAGCACATGTACATTTTACCCAGGTTAAAAATTAAAAGTTGATACTTTGCAAACAAATGAACAACACTGATGTAAGTGGGCCTGGAATGCCTTGGTCCTCCTGGTTTTCTGATCTAAATCACCAAGACACTTTCACTCCCAGAGGTACCACTAATTCACCTGGTGGCAGGATGAGAGGCAACGGTCTGGTACCAGGGGAGACTCAGGCACATCAGAAAAACCTCTAGCAATAATGGGACCAAGGTTGGGTTTCCACGGACTTGCCCACCTTGGTCCCCTGGTTCTCCCTGGATTTCAATGTCATGGGCAAGAAAAAGGAAAGAAATGGTCCCTACTCTCACAGCACACACCATCCAGGAAGGATGACCCGACGAAACATAGAAAAGGAGGATAATACTTAGTAGCATACGATTCACACACTTCATTCAACCAGTGTGTCTGGCATTTTTATCATGTGACGAATAAGGTTAAGGGCTCAATGTAGAGCTGATTACACCCTGTGAGCTGCAGCAGATGGAGGGAAAAGGAGAATTTAACTGAAATAAAAATTGCATAGGTTTGTGACACACAGAATGGAGGAAAATAGGTGTCCTCCATACCATTGTATTCCTATGTTGCACAGGAAAAATTTTTTAGAAAGCTGAAAAGACAGTCCTTGTCCCCAAGAAATGTATAAAGGAAAAGATGAGACAGATATGCACCCAACTAACCAAGACAAGTCACCCTCGAAGGACAGGAACCCTCACCCACTCTGTGCCAAGCCTGTGCTGGTCACCTTGCCTGCCCACCTGGTCTCCTTCACCTTCACCACTCCGTCTCAGGAATTAAGGCAGAGCAGTTAAGGGCCTCGGGGCTGGATTCAAGCCACATGGGTTTAAAGACTGGTTTGCCATTTCCTGTGCAATTCCAGGTAAGGAACTTAACTCCTTGTGCCTTAGTTTCCCCATCTGTGAAATGGAAATAACAGCAGTTACTTTCTGCATAGGGTGGTGGTTATGATTAAAAGAGAGAGCCCACGTAAAGGGCCTGCCATAAAGTAAAGATCCAACAAATGCTTGCTATTGTTATTCATTTTCAGATATGAAACTGATTTTATATTTTGCAGGCAGGAAAACCGAGGCGTTGGAAAGTTAGGGGGCTTGCCAAAGATGCTATCATTTGATTTCCGGTTTGCGTGGATGTCTGTGGAGGGAGGTTGGGGTGGGGATGGGGATGCTTCTGGTGTTGTGTTATCTGATCTGAGGACTACAGGCTACGTAGAGAGATTGGAGACTTTGAAACTGCATTCTGTGGGACCCTAAGTTACATTCCAGGGACCACTTTTGTGGGGGTGGACGTTGTACCAGTAACTAGGAGAAACAGAAAGGTTGTATCTACCCCTATTTCAACCAGATGTCTTGGTTGAAATTTTTCTTAATTATAGTAAAAATATAATAACACAAGTCCTCTCTTTGAGAAAGAAAATATAAGAGGCATAAGTTTCCTTTTAAGAGAAGTGACTTTGATTAAGGGGAATTAAGTCCTAGCACAAAGCACTAGGACTTAATTTTTCTTTGCTACTGAGAAAAGATGAAAAATACAGTGTTCACTATGATGTTTGTAAACTAGATGCTGAACAATGACCCTCTTTGCCAATTAATCAGGTTGAGACAAAACTCACAGGTAAGACCAAACTTGACGTTGCTGTTTCAACAGGTGGAGATTTCTTGTGTGGTGTTTTTCCACCATTCAAAGAAATAAGGTCTCTCCCATTAATACATTGTTATTTTGCAAGTAAAATGTAAACTTTTATGTTTGTCAATACTGTGAAACATCCGTGGATGATCATGGGCAGTGATTAAAGCATAGCTGATGATTTGGATGTTGTGCCTATTGTTAATCATTTCAGATTAACTGAACATAAAATGAACTTACTGGTCTTTTTAGCCATCACAAGCTAAAGCTCTTAATTTCACCAACATTGTAAAAACCAGAGTGTAATTTCCAGTATTTCAAACTGCAGCTTGGTTTGTTGTCTCTTTTCACAGAGGTCTCAGAAATAAGACTGAATAAAACAAAAGGCTTCAGAGAATTCTGAAATCAAAACACAATGTGAGGGACTTCCCTGGTGGTCCAGTGGCTAAGACTCCGTGCTCCCAATGCAGGGGCCCCGGGTTCGATCCCTGGTCAGGGAACTAGGTCCCACATGCCACAACTAAGAGTTCGCATGCTGCAATGAAAAGATCCCACATGCCGCAACTAAGACCCAACACAGCCAAATACATAAATAAATATTTTTTAAAATGTACAATGTGAAGCTTTGCTGATATTTCAACAGTATATTGGTGTTCCATATAGGATTTCATTTAAAAGAGGATCCACAGGGGCTTCCCTGGTGGCGCAGTGGGTGAGAGTCCGCCTGCCGATGCAGGGGACGCGGGTTC